ACGATATTTAATATCCAAAAAAGGGAAAAAGGAAAACATTTTACATTACATTCTATTCCATTATTATCATTAAATTCCTGCTAAATTTCATAATTTACCTCCCTTCCAATTACCAAGGGGATTGTTGAAGTTCTTTTTCAGTAGCTCTGAGATGTTAAAAAAAAAAAAAGTCATGTGAGGTTTTTCTGATGTTTGTTCAATGACTTTGCTTTTTCCATATCACTTAGGCTTGGGGGTTAAATTTTGGTGGATGGGGATTCAAACAATGGGATCCCAGAGCAATGGCCTGCAGTCCCACTTGCACCCATCTTCGCTAGTGAGGCAAAATTCTTGGTACAGTCTCACTCTCAATGAGGTGGAAGATCAATTGGGAAACTTGGGAAAACCCTTAGGTAGCATGAACCTTGATGAACTTCTAAAAAATGTATGGACCACTGAAGCAACTCAATCCATGGGAATTGAAATCACATCGCCCGCGTCTTCACTCCAACGTCAAGCCAGCCTTAGCCTGGCTAGAGCTTTGAGTGGAAAAACTGTTGATCAGGTGTGGAAGGAGATCCAACAGGGACAAAAGAAAAGATATGGAGATGACCTCGTGGGCAGGGAGCCAATCCTTGGTGAAGTTACCTTGGAGGATTTCTTAGTGCAAGCAGGGCTTTTTGCGGAGGCATCCTTAAGTCCTAGTATGGATTTGGATTCCGTTGATGCTGCAATCAAACAAAGTTTTCCACAGCAAACGGTTTTATCCCCTGCCCCAATCACCACCTTGTTAGGCACGGCAACACCAGGGAGGAAGAGGGATCAAGAAGCAATTGAGAGAAGTATTGAGAGGAGGCTGAGGAGAAAGATCAAGAACAGGGAATCTGCTGCACGTTCCCGAGCTAGAAAACAGGTTGCTACAAGAAAGTGTCAATTATTTTCAGGAATTCTCCATTTTTAGATTTCCTCAATTTTTCCTCATGAGACTTTGTCTGGTTGTCTTGGAATTTCACAGGCATACCATAATGAGCTGGTGAGCAAGGTTTCACATTTAGAAGAGGAGAATATAAGGCTTAAGAAGGAGAAGGTATGATTTTTCTGTCGATGCCTACTATGTTCAGTCTTCTGTTCTCTTTACCTTTTAGTTCCTGTTCAGTTTGATTCTTGTTCTATTCCTGGTTAAT